TTTTCAGGGCCGGTTGCTACGTCCATCTTTTATACAGTCTATGATATCCAGACTTTCTTCGCGTAAGTAGATTCGATTAGATAAAACTCGACAAAACAAACTCTCCAGTCAGAGACAACAGGTGTCATCAACTTTCTTTCTCAACTCTTTGACTCTCCACATAAAAGGAAATGCGTCACGTGACTCTTCTTCTGCACAAAATGCACCGATCATGTCCCGTCTGCTTCAGTCAGCAGCTTGTTTTAATGGAGAACGATGAGGAATATAAAAAAGTTATGACGGTAAAAAAGTGCTGCTACTGTAGCTGATGCAGTTAACTGTTCATCGTCTGTTAATATATTTATTCTACTGATCAATGCAGCTGTTAAACTTCATATAATCAAACATAATATTATATCAAAGTGCATTCAGGTCTGACTCTGTCCCATAATGCAGGATGTTAATTACATTTCTGGCCAAATCAAAGTGAAATTAATCTTACTAATAATAATAAACACCAGCAGAACAATCAGGGTTCTATCAGCTGCAGCACCAGCAGAGTAAACGGACCAAACGTAAAAACACATTTATGTTATTTCTGCATCAACAGGTGAATACATGGAGGTTTCCATGGCAACACGATGTGTGATGCTGTAACTGCACGGCTTCATTCGGTGGGTTTTAGTAACGTACAGATCAACAGGAAACGATTTGGGTAAAGGGAGACGTTTCTTACAGCCAATTCAAATCCAAAACTCTGAACAGAACCGGCATCAGTTACCATGGCGATGTAGCAGGTTAAAAAACCTTCATGATGCTGAAAAGTCAACACACCTGCTGACAGACTAATCTCACAGCACAACCCTCATGTAGCTAAAAAGACATCCTGGACATGTCGAACTCGCTCCTTTTTCCATCACAACAAACCGATGCGGCGTCCACATCCCTGCAGCTCATCTCACACTTCAGCTTCAGATTCAAAGGTGTCGATCCTGTTTCCCTCTTCGCTGGAACATCTGACAGAACAGACTTCTGATAACTTCAAATGCCACAAGTTCATATCAGAAAGCAATGATTTTATCTGAAGAACAAATGGCGACCGCATTAAGGCACTTTTACGGGACAGAAACATATAAGTCCTCGTACATAAATTTCAGTTTTACGTTCCTCATAAGGAGTCGCTGCATTAATGGAGGTTACACCAACTCACATCCACAGCCTGGATTCAACCAGAGAGAATTAAAGATGAGGCCACACCTCTGTTCCAGCAGCTGCAGCTCCAGACTTGGTTTTATCCACATCAAAAGAACTCACCGACGCTCTGGTCTATCAGGTTGTAACCTCTGAAGTCCAACCAGTTGTACAGCATCTGCTCCTTTCTCCTGCTGTTATATCAGACATGTCAGGCTTTATGGGAAATTGTGTTTAATTCAGGCCACTGAAAACACCAATACTGAGAAAACAACGACCACATTTATCCAAACACATGAATTGAGAGGCTTTGCTCTGAGGCTGGATTTTGGGGTTTTTGGCTCTTGAGTTTCCAATGACTCCTAAAACTTAGACTTTTCTACGATGGAATCACTGAAACACTCAAGTCAATCCTGCATTTTGGTTCTTTTCTAGATTATTACAGGTCTTCTGGAAATATAATCAGATCTCAAAAGCATACATGCATAAATGCTAATATTTGGTTAGACGTCTTTAGTCATTTTTCCTCAGTGAGGTGCTTTTGGGAGCCTTATACAAACTTCTGGTTTTATCTTTGACCCTCCTCTTGATCGAATTGGTTCAGTTAAACTAAATGTGTTGTCTCTCTGACACAGACTTGTTTCTTCATCACAGTCCAAAGCGTCTTGATGGGGTTTAAGTCAGGACTTTGGGGGGAAACAGTCTAAAACTTATTCTGGGCTAACTTAATTATTAGGTCATTGTCTTGTTAGAACAACCAACTGCATCCACGACTGATTATTATAGGTTCTCCTGAAGAATGTGGAGGTCCTGCTTCATTCATCCATTAACTATCTGGAAAGCATCAGTTCCACAAGACTGCCCCAGAGCGTCATACTGCCACAGCCATGCTTGATGGTGGGGTTAAAGTCTTTGTACACTTCCAGAACTAATAATTCATGTATGTATATTTTTGACCCAGCAGATTACCTGAGGACCTACAATAAATCTATGAAGGATCCAAAATGCATGTTTGTTGTTTTTTTGGGGGGGGAACAAAGACGTTTGTGTTTCAATGACTCCATCAAAGAAATTTCACAGTTTTCTGAGTCATTAAAACCTCAAGACTGCCGTGATAGACATAAGTTTTATAAGTGTACTTTTGTTCATGACTATAGGTCGACTTGATCTGGCAAAAGAACTCGAAAGGTCCAGATTCATGTCACTGAAACTCCTTTTTCTTTGGATCTAATGATTGGAGTAAGGAGTTATTCAAAGAAGAAGCAGAAAAATACGGCCAGACAGGTTGGACTGTCATTTTTATCTTGTGGTCAGTTTTTAAATTTAAAGTGATAAATTCACCTCTTCTAAGAATGTCAGAAACTACAAACATGAGCAAACACAAGCCTTTCTTCACCAACTTATCAAACATGTCTCTTGTTCCTCATTCTGCAGATTACGGGTGGCCCCTGCCCTCCAATCTTTGTCCCATCTGGATCTATCTGGACGTTCTGTTCTCCACGGCGTCCATCATGCACCTCTGCGCCATCTCCCTGGATCGGTACATCGCCATACGGAACCCGATCCACCACAGCCGCTTCAACTCGCACACCAAGGCCCGCATCAAGATCATGGCGGTGTGGACCATCTCAGTGGGTGGGTACCACACGCACGGACACAAACGGCACACGTTGAAATTCGACTCGTTTGTTCCGTTAATCCCCCAAACCGTTTGTCTACGTTCTAACAACGTATTTGGTTGTTAGTGATCCGAGGTGAGCAGAGGTTGGCTTCTATTTGTTTCACTGGGATCACAGCTAGAATGGTTTTGTTCTAAAAACGTTCTGGAGACGTTCTGTAAAGTCTCAGTAATGTTTGGTTAATGTTCCTACTATCATATAGGATTGTTAGAGATCCGAGGTGAGCAGAGGTTGGTTTTATTTGTTTCACTGGGATCACAGCTAGATTGGTTTTGTTCTAAAAACGTTCTGGAGACGTTCTGTAAAGTCTCAGTAATGTTTGGTTAATGTTTCTAACAACATATATGGTTGTTAAAGAGATTTGAGGTGGCAGGAGTTGGTTTTTGTTTGTTTTGGATCTGGAACTTTTACATTCTAAAAATGTTGTGGGAAAGTTCTGCTAATATTTTTAGCTGGAAGTTTTCCTTTAGTTTTCAGAATGTTGTTCTTAAAAGACGGGCTAAAGTTTTCTTCAAGGTGCTCTTTTCACACTTTTTTCCCCAAACGTTGCATTGACATCCTTTTTTTGTTATTACGCAACATTTTGAGAACGTTTTAGAGAAGAACGTTCTCAACAGAAACATCCCTAAAACTGAATATCGGAGGCAAAATGTTCCACATTTATGATTAGGTTACATTACAGGAACGTTTTATAAAAACCCATTCTGTCATCTAACGTCCTGATAACCTTGTAGTATGTTCTTTGAATGTTAGTTTGATTCGCCTGATTTGTGACATACTTTTTCTTTCATAGAATGGTAAATATGTGTAAAATACCAAATTCTTTTTTGTTTTTACTTAAATATGGTTAAAAACAAGATTATTTTTTAGGGTCAAATGTTGTAGAAAAACAAGAACACATTGCAGATTATAAAAATGCAGATTTCTGATGTGGACATTGTTGAAAAGTAAATTATTTTTGTGATTTTATGAGCAAAACAGGGAAAATCTGAAAAAAAAAACAGCAAATTGTTAAAAAATAATCAGTAAATACTGTAGATTTGGCAAATTGTTTGAGAATGAAGAGAATGTAAGTGGTGGCAGAAGAGAAACTGTAAAATGTAATTTAAAAAATCAACAAGAGACGGCAAGAAAAGGTGGAAAGCCGAATGTTACGCTCAACATTACATCAGAGTTAGAATAAAAACTTTTGTACTTCAGTCTCTAAAAGCTCAGACAAAGGATCCTCCAGAATCAGATGGTTTTTTTGCAGTATATTGAACAACCCTGAAAGTCTTTAATTCAGTTTTGCTCAGCAGATTCTTCTTTCTCTCACTGTTCCTGGTTATTGTCTTCACCCTTCAGCACACAAACAGGTTTTCTAAGAACACAAACAACAGCCCTGTGCCGTCTGAATGAACGAGGCGAACCAGAGATTAACAAATCCGAGCAAAGCCTTTTGAAAAACAAACGGGAAAAGCTTTTAATTGGATTAAGTATTGTATATATCAAAGCTAATAATAAGCGGCGGCATGTCGGAGGTGCAGGGGGTTTACGCCGCCTTCGCTTTGTTCTCGTTTTCATGCGAAAAAGTGTGGAAGGTTAAAGAAGGTGTTGTTTCAGGTTTATCTTGAAACAACAGTCTGTGCGCGGAGGGAGTTCTTGGTTACTCTCGTCCATCCGGGATACGAAGAAATCCGACCCGAAAGCAGTTCTGCAGTGAGAGAAAATTCCTCTTGGAGTTCACTTGTAGGTAACGCGAGGCTTTTGCAGGGCGGAGTGGAGTTCTGACAAAATCATATCGGCCAAAACTTGACAGCTGGAAAACTCCACTGGCAGCACTTTGTGTTTACTCTACACCCTCCTGCAGATAAATACAGACGAAATAAAATCTCTTTTCCTCCACTAGTGTTTGAATCTGTGCATTTACATGTGAACCAATCTGTTACTAAGCGACACGCAGGTCTGCAGTTCTTTAAACTATTCGTAATTATGAACCACATACATGCAGCTGTTTTCAAATTTACTCATTTTGCAAGAAAGCTAATCATTAAATGTACCAAAAACAATGTAAAGTTAGATGATAAAGCGCTGTTTTCCCTGGTAAACCTGTCACATAAGATGTTTTGGAGTATAGTTTTAACGGTAGAGGAATCATCTTCAATTTAAGTCATTAAAATGTTCATTTTATTATCATTTTGAAGGTGTTTCGCGTGACTTTTTGGGGCTTTTTTGTGCCTCTGCGGTCATTTGCTGTTGTGATTTGCTGCCGTTTCGTCTCTTTGCGGTTCTTTTACGCCTCTGTAGTGATGTCGTTTTACTTCATTGTCATTTTTGTGATCGTTGTTGGGCTTCATAAGCACACTTAACGGCGGTGGAGTCACTATTTAACGCTTACAAAGAGGAAAACTTACTTACAGCCCTTGTTTTTCTCATGTTTATTTGCGTTTTGAGTTCATGTTTGGTTGAGTTTGGGAATCAAAACTTGGGAATTTGGGTTTAAATGCACCATCGCATGCAGCAAATCTCCATTTTGTACGTTTCCGGGGTGACGGAGCTCACACAACCACTACTTTGTGTTTATCTAAGATCAGAATAGAGCCTCCTAAGGTCCTGACTCGCCCGTAAACACCTGATAATGGCGATAACATCTGAATCAGCTGAGCCAAGAGGAGGTTTGCGTGTCTCTGAACTCGGACAAAGCGGTGAAAAATGACATAAAAAATGTGTTCTATGGTTGCGGTGAAGCAGTTTTGTGTGCATCCTTGTTCACTATGTCACTCTTTATAAGGGTCGAAGGTTCTTCAGCTACAATTCGCTAAAATAAAACAGGAATTCCAGTTATTTGACTTGCAGTCACCTGAGAGAGGCCACGGTTAAACCCACAACACTGTGAAGGGAAAGCGAAGCCACTAATCGCGCCAGTCGGAGGTCAGTCGGCTCCTCGTGAGACGCAATTTTCCACAAGATACAAGTGACGTTTATGACTCCATATAATTTTTAATGGACGCCGGAGAACAATCAGGTCTCCGTAATTGGCTTCTGCCCGCCTGGCTGCTCTCCAGCTGTTCAGGTCAATGGACCTCGATGAGCAGGAAATGTGATGATGGAGCTGCAGCTGACGGAGCGCCGGGAGGGTCCAGACCAGCTCTGCGCCGCCGCCGTTCACGCTCGCCGGGAGAAAACGAGGACCAGAAATGTGGAGCAGCGTAAAGATTCCCAGCTGATAAACTATCAGCTGGGAATCTGCAGAACCCACACCATCAGATATCGTTTGATTGGAGCCAAATTATCCAGAAACGTTCCCACTTTTCCCTCCTGATTGATTTGTTTTTCCCGTCGTTAGCTGACATGCTTTCACACTAAGCTAATTAGGATGAGAAATGGTAGAAAAGCGGAGTTTTCTCCACGTGGCAGCGAGCCTGGCTCTTAGATTTTTATCAAATTAATGGATGTCAGGAACATTACGGCTGGATGTCGGCGGATTGGTTCTCTTAATGATTTACAGGAGACGTAACCGAGTTACCCCGATTTTAAAAGATAAGAGACAATACGAGCAGCCGTTTGTTCAGAAGAGTGACGCGAATGTCAAATCTGCGGAACAAACGCAGACGCCAGTGATGGATGAGGAAATGTAATGTCTTTATTCAGCCTCAGTTCAACAGCACCTGAAAGCTTAATGAGAGTTCAGTGACAAAGAGACACAATTTACCACCAGAGATAAAAAAGACCACAAAAAAGGACACGAAAAAACTACAAAACATCTAGTTGCAGACGTAAAATCACTACAGAGAGACTGAAAAACTATAGATGGAAGCAAAGTGATGCACAGCAACCAAAGAAACACAAAACTGTGTTCGACAAGACAACTACGGAACAACACGCAAACTATTTATACACAAAATCACTACAACAAGATGGAAAACAGCCACAAGAAGATGCAAAATGATGCCCAAGAAAAAGACAACAGCCATAAAGACACACAAACAACTGCAAAGAGAAACACTGTTATGACACAGGATACAACAAATGACCACAGAGGCACATACACACAAAAAAGACAAAAATAACTACAAAAAAGCTACAAAACAATGACAAGATAGCTGCTAAAAGAAAACCAGGCCTGCAATGAAATGATGCACAAACTACAGAGGCACAAAATCCCCATAAGAAGATGCTGGGGGAAAAAAAACAACAACAACAAAATAAATAAAGGTGCAAAATGATGATTTTGCGAAACAAAATTACTACGGTGACCAAAGTAAACCAGAAATCGACAGAACAACTACTAAGAGAGACCAAATTAGTACAGAAGCTACACAAACACGGGGCAAAACAAGTTCAAAAGCATGATATGACTCGAAACAACCACAAAACATCTACGTAAAGACTGCAGAGCGACCAGAAAGATGCATAAACTACAGAAACACAAAATAACTACGAGACGATGCAAAATGATGGTTGAGATAAACTAAACAACCACATGGACAAAGTCACGACAAAGGCCACAACAAATGACCAAAGACAGACAAAAAAAACCTCAACAGATGTTTTCAGCTTTTCATCAATCAAAGCTTTATGGGAGAGTTTCAAAGTGAAAGTTACTGCTGACAAATAAACTACTAGAGTTAGACTCTGAAGTGAACTGGAGGAAGGTGCTTTGGTCTGAAGAGACTAATATTGAGGTTAATGGGCATTACACTGGATGTTATGTTTGGTAGAAACCAAATACTGCATGTCATCAAACCCACCATCCACACTATGAAGCACGGTGGTGGCAGCATCATGACGTGAAGGATGATGGTAGCATGATTGGTTGCCTAAAAGCAGTGATCGTGACGACAGTTTCTGACAAGTTCTTATGGACTTATTCACTCTTTTTGGTGAGATGGTGCTGCAAACTTTAGAAGTGTATCATGTGTGACACCACAGAGGCCATGAACTGAGCTGTAATGATTCACTGATTCTAGTTTCTCA